TTCAGTCAGATAGTTAGAAATAGATACTAAAAGTGGGGCGTGTCGTTGTTATACAGTCTGTGGTCCTTCAGTAGCCACAAAGAGCCTCCTCTTAAGGAATGTGACGACACCGATCAGATGTAATCATGTATATGTCTTCTGAACATTTACTTCCTCCTCAGTCTATAAAAGGAATTAAAAAAAAACAAAAAACATTTCAAACATATATTGTTGAATCATTTATTATAGTTATGTTTGTTATATTTCCCTAAAAAAAATCAAATATACATTGTTCAGTTATTTATTATTGTCACATTTATTATATTTCCCTAATAATAATAATAATAATAATAATAATAGGAAAGTGTCTCTAATTAGACGGACTGTCTCTCAAGCTAGTCTCCAACGATAGATCGGTCTAAATATGTCAGCTTGCATCAGCAACGCACTAAACCTTCCACACAAAAGCACAACGACAAACAAATATGAAACAAACAAAAGTTGAAAGTCACAAATACCTTGTGCGCCTCTCGGACGGTGCAGAGCAGTTATTTTTGGACTGTTTGGTTTTCCTATGTAGCAATGTTGGCGTTTTCTCTCTAAAGCCGTACTGCACCTGGTCCATCAGGTGTGAACCATGATCCAGGACGCTTGGTGGTCACGTGACAAACGGAAGCCAGTTACCGGAAAAACTGAGCGGGCAATTTGTATATGTAAATACAGAGAGACAAATCTGAGATTATTCGTAATTAGTAGTCAATAAATTAATTGATTTACAATATTTATTTTGTTGGGGTTTTTTTTATTTTTATTTTTTTAGAATAATTAATTAATTTTGCCAGTGTCAGAGGATTAGTATAAACTGCTAGTGTTACCTGTCTTGTTGACATATTTTAGGTTAATGCTAATATGGTTAAGGAACAAACTGCTATTTATTGCTTGTATGGCAGTCAAGAGCAATCACATCCTAATGTTTAGTGATATATCTAGAGGGAGAGGAAGGGAAGAAATGTTCTATAATTCAGATTAGATCACTTTTTGCATGAAGTAGGAAGAAATTTCTCTTGCATGTGCATAAATCTGCTCTTTAAAATGGGGTGTTAAAATACATCACATCCAGACAGGACAGAACAGATAGAGTATAATTTATATATGTTTATATACATACAAGCATATATTTTATGTATCTTTTGTCTTGTTGCTATGCACTTAGTTACAAACATGAAGCCCAAATACACCTCTAATGAACAATATGTCAAGTTTGTTTGTGTCATTTCATCTATGTTGTCCTTGTAGACAGTCTCCACTATGATTTTCTTTGCTGCATAATGACGCTTCAGTCACTCTGAGAAACCAGTATGAATGTTTCCTGTTCCACTGACACTGAGCTGAGAATAAAAAAAACTGTTGGCTGAAGAGCCAACTAACAGTGGTTTAAGATTACAACAACAATAAAAAAATATGTGCAGTAATCACATTCAAACGCTGGGCAGGTTAATGTTTATTTTATTAAAAACTCAGGAACAGAAAAGTGCACACAAACTAATTTATGCCGACAGTCACAAAACAGAAAGGTTAAAAAAAAAAAAAAAAAAACAGAAACAGGAATAAATTAAAGAAGATCTGATGATAGAGTGTTTCGCTGGAATGGATGACTTGATTCCAGCTTGAATGATTGAAAAAAAAAAAAAAAAAAAAACAGGAATAAATAATGAGCAGACACAGCAAAGGGAAGCAAGCTGGAAGAACGAAGAACCAACATTAGTTTAACTGACTAACACTTGAAAGTGTTGCATGTGTTCTACTCTCTCATACTGACTGGAATAGAGCTCCATTGTTACGTGGCTTCAACAGAAAATGCAGACTGACCAAAATAACTGTTCCTCAAAGGGATAAAGCAGTCCTCTCTTGTTATACTTTTCGTGATCTGGTTTCTGTGTCTAAAATGGTTTCTGTTATTGGTATTTATACTGCTATTCATTTAGTGTAAATCTATAGTTGAATGAAAACATGTTTCCCAGCTGACAGTTTAAACCAGTCTGGTAATGTGTTTGCTGTGCCATCCAACGTTTTAGTTAAAACACAAACGGATCTGCATCCTGGAGCGGCTGCACTGATGTTGGTCTCCGCCCGTGGTTTAAAGCGTCTCGTTCATCTCGCGATATTTCTGTCGAGACCTTGATACTCCGCTTGTTTCTCTTTTGCATCACTTCCAGTAAAATTTAAAATTATTTCTGTGTTTTCACATTTTCTTTCTTTCTTTCTTTCTTTTTTTTAAAAAAAAGTTCTATTATACGTTTAAATGAGATTAAAATCCTTTAAAGAGAATAAATCTTATTTTTACATCTTAGTAGGGAAGACGAACGAGCAGAGGAAGAAGCAGCGCATTTCGGATTGGAACGCAGCCTCGCGAGATTTCCCTGAGTTGAGTTGAGTGAATGCCACGTCTTACCAGCAGCATTAACGCAGACTGAATATCAGCAGTTTTCCACGCAGAACAGAGAGTCACACCGTGGCCCAGCAGGCAGCGATATCTAACGCTATACGGTAAGCACCAACTGTTGGTTTTTCTGTCGTTTTCTGCCTTTATTAGTGATGCGTCTGCTGCAGCAACATGCTAGCAAGTTGGTTATTAGCTAGCTGGCCAGCTAGCAGGCTTCCTGAACAACTTGTGGAAACCGGCGCTGATCGGTGGTCACTGACTGATGACCAGCTTTCTTTTGTTTACTCTGAGGGTAAACGTGACGCTTTTCAAGTGAGATTCAACGAGATTACCTTCTTTACTTTCGCATCTGATGTGGGAAGCCGCCAACAAATAAACACAATCCACGACAGAGCTAGCTAAAGTAACTCAAAGGGCTGAGCTAACAGGGAATGTATGGTTACAGATTTTACATCAGCACTGCACGCAGTCAGCACAAAATAGTGTTTTGTGCAACTGCTGTACTAAATACTGTGGTGCACGATAATATTATATCTGAGGAAAGAAGCCAGTGAAAGCCTAGTACAGCATAATCTTAGAGGACTACCATAACCTGCTGTTATAAAGTCATTTAATTGGAAAAAGCCTCAGTTTGAGTGGTCAAGTGTCATTTCAGTGTGAACACTTACAGTATTAACATCATCCAAGCCTGCTGATGTGACAAAGTATAGCTTTACAGATAGAACCACTATAGATTCACTGTAGTCTGATCGCCTCAGCTGCATTTGGTAGAGACCTGGATTTGACTGATTGTGGTGTAGTATGAATGGAAATGCATCCTTGTCCGTATGGACTGACCACCTGCTCAGCTTTTCAACATTAATCCATCACAATGAAGCACCCAAACAGCTCATTAGTCAAAGTCAACGAGCTTGAAATAAGCTTAAAGCTCCTGTCACATAGTAAAGCACCATAAAAAAATCTGTTGTCGTTGTAAACTTTCTTTTCCCTTCTTTAACCGTGACTACAGTTTCTTACAGGTGAGTTTTTTATTTATTCTGTCATCTTCTGTTTACTCTTCATCATAGGGGATAATATGGGCTGTGTACGTCTGCTGGTACTGACACTGGCCACATCTGCAGTGCTGCTTTTAGCCTCTCATTCAGCCTCCGCTCACAGCCATTCCCACGGTGACCATGGTCACGCCCACTCCCATGACCACCATCACCATGGCCACCATCACCACGGCCACCATGACCACGGCCACTCCCACGGTGGCGATGATCATCACGAGCACTCTCATGGCCCTGAGGTGAGGATGTTCCACGGGGCGAGCAAGTGGAGCGCTGAGGCCAACCTGCCGACGCATGAAGAGGAGCACCACGGGCACGCTCACGATCACGGGCACGCTCATGCTCACGATCACGGGCATGCACACTCTCATGATCACGGTCATGGGCACGCTCATCATGAGGATGTTGTTCGAGTCCACAAGGAGGACAGCGGACATGGACACGCACATGGAGGGGAGAGAATGAAGAGGGACATGGTGGAGCTCTGGACTCAGGTGTGTTGGTGGGAACAACAGGGTTTAGTTTGAAATGTGGTCTAAAATATCTACATGAGACACAGGAAGGAGAAGCACAGTGTTTTATCTTGCTGTAGCAGCTGTCAGTTGTGCTGCTGAGGGTGAATTTCAGTTTTTTCTCGTTCTAGCCGCACAGTTTCAGTTAGAGTCTGTCAGTCTGCCCGGGTAAATATTAGTTTGAGACTGCTTTGAATGGGCCAGTTTAACTAGAGAATGTTTGTCATTTTAGAATTATAGAGTTTATGTACAAATCAACTTGTTAGGGGAGAAGTTTTGACATTTTGAAAAAGAGGATATTTGTTTCCTTGTTATGATATAGGAGAAGTTCAGCACCACTCATCCGTTGCTCTAGAAAGTCAGTGCACCAAACCAAGAGATAGTCTGACACTCATTAAATCACAACTTGCCGTTTTTATGTTTGCTGTTTTTTAATGGATCAAATAAATGAGAAGCAGTGTGTTAATTAGTCAGAAGTGCTGGTTGTTTACCCCAGTTTGTGGTTTTAAGGGCAAGTTAAACTACCGTCTCCTGGCTTCAACTTTGTTTAATGGGCAGATATTTGTCTTTTTAAGGACAGTCATTTAGTGAAATTGGCGCTTAAAAGCAATATTTTGTAGTGTTCTGTTACAGAATTCTGACTTTGATTGTGTTGTTTCGTCCACATGGAGACTTTACAGTGTAATACACTTGGAGAAAATAGAACCTTACTGCACTGTTGATTGAAAGTGGTGAAACCAACAGTATTCTGGAGAATAAATCAGAATGGGTGTTTTCTTACAAGAAAGATGTTCAGTTGGGAACCAAAAAGAGAACCTCCAATTTGACTCTGATTGTTGCAGTGGAAAAAACAGGCTGTAAGTTTCACAATCCTACAAACTGTCATCAGCAATTTTTGTGTCTCATGACATGACAGTTTTCTTGCAAAGAGTTTCTCTTGTTCTGTTGAATTACTTATTTTGAGGAACTTAAATGCTGTATCTGTTCCTAAACCCAGTGCAGACTCGGTTGGAGTCACAGTCTGCAACCAGATGCTTCTTTTCTGTATTGTATTTAACAACATGTGGGCACTCTGTTTTTGCCAGAAGCAGTTTATATTTGTTTACCAGTCGTCCACAAAGCAGATTGTCCTCCAAATACTCCACTTGTGTGTAACTTCATGACTGTGTATTGGTTTTTAAAGTTGCCTAAAAGCTTCTGTGTGCACAGCAGTATTCTGCCTGCACAGATCCACTGTAGACACAGCAATGGAACTACAGACTGCATATAGAAGTAGAACGTAGTTTTAGAGTCTGACAAGTGAAGCCCACTAGGAGGCATCTTAAACCTGCATTCTTTCTAACAGCCAGCAGAGGGCTCCTATGGTTGCAAAAAGAATTTTGGTTTCATAGAATTCTATGAGAATATTGTCTTAATTTTCACTGAAACTGTTAACTCAGTAAGCATTTTGCTGTTGGGTTGATGATCTCCAGCCTTCTTTCATTAAGTTCTTTTTTAAAAGTCCAAGATGGCAACGGCCAGGACAGTAGTACACAAACCAGTGGGTGACTTCATGGTTGCTACATCCATCCTTTATTTACATTCTTAGGTGGGAATACATTAAATGTAAAGTCCGTCATAGGCTCACTACGTTAGCTTCACTCGTAAAGCATCATGGAGTGATCGTTCCTTAAAGCCACACTTTTATCGTTTATCTTCGAACACAAGCCTTTTCAGAGCAGGCTGTCTGTGTAATTATTGTATCGTTGAGTCATTGTACTGATCAATACCAGTATCAGCTCCAAGCAGATTTCAACTTACAAGTCTCAGCACTTCCCTAAATTAGCCTCCACACAGATACTTGTGGCGTTACCTTGTTTTTCTCCTCTAATTCCTGTTCTGCCTGTTCGATAGTTTAACAGTTTTAGTGGCATTTTCTCCCTGCAGAAACACAAATGTGAACTTCCCTCCATCTTTGTCCGCAGGCTATCGGAGCCACGCTGCTGATCAGTGCAGCTCCTTTCCTCATCCTGTTTCTGATCCCAGTTCAGTCCAATAGCGACCAACACCAGAACCTGCTCAAGGTGCTGCTGAGCTTCGCCTCTGGTGGGCTGCTGGGAGATGCCTTCCTCCACCTCATACCACACGCTCTGGGTAGGTAGTTGAGACGTAGGCGTCAGTTTCTACATGAAGTTTCATCCCTTTTATTCGACGCAAAAAGTATTATTAAAGTGCGTTTGTAATGTAAATTACATCAGATCACACAAAGACTCTGACCGAGAGAAATAGCCCTGAGTTGATTAGAGTGCTGTAGGTTCACTCATTTCATTCCAGTGATTTTTGATGTGGTCTCTTGTAAATAATCTACTCCACATATAGCAGTTGTTTTTTTTTTGTTGTTGTTGTTGTTGTCTGGAGAATCATCATCAGTGTTTGTTAGCTCTGTTAGCGCGCATTAATAAATTTGACACTCTAATCATTCCCAACTTTTTAAACTGTACTCTCTGTAATTTGTCTCTTTGATATTTAATGTTTCCTCGTTTCATATTTATTCTGCACAGAGCCCCACTCCCATCATGGAGATGGAGATGGAGATCATGGACATTCACATGCAAAAGAAGAGTCACATGACCACGGTCACTCCCATGGTATGCAGCTTTTCTTTGTTTATATGTGGTTAGTTGGTACTCTGGTTTTTTGACAGTTTAGGAGCAAAGAAATTTACAAAAAAAAAGTACAACATATGTATTTTTATATGATAACTAGTGTACAACTGGGCTGTATACTGAGCTCAGCATGAATCATGCTTCTAACAAGTGTTCTCTGTATTGTACCGGCACAGGAGCAGCCCACGGTCACATGATGTCGGTGGGTCTGTGGGTTCTCGGTGGGATCATCGCCTTCCTGGTTGTAGAAAAGTTTGTGCGTCTGCTGAAGGGAGGACACGGCCACGGACATTCCCACGGTCACTCGCATGGTGCAGTCCTCACAGAAGACTTTTACTGTCATATTTAAAACACAGATCTGCAGAAAATGTTGTTTGTTTAAATGAGTGACCCACATTTTAGTTAATACCAGCAGCGTTGTAGATTGAAGTTAATTTGTAGGTTTTCTCAAATCAAAAATCTGTGATGTGAATCTGTGTGTTCAGTGGCTTTTACTGCTTGTGGTCTCAGGACGTGACCTGGTGACTAATTTACACTGTATTCTGTGTAACACTTTCAGCTGCCCCAAAGGAAAAGGACAGCGATGGGGAGGAAGAAAAGGAAAAAAAGAAGAAAGAGAAGGAAAGCAAGGATGAGAAAGTGCCAAAGAAAGAGGAGAAAAAGAGCTCAGGTACAGGTTTACATCGACCTCTAATTGTTAACATTGATTAAGTCTGTCAGTCATGCACTACACAAAGGCTTCTTCTAAATAAATACAAAGTCCCAGCTCTGAATTCAACACAAAATATCTGATGTAGAAATATGCAGTTAAAATCCTAAAAGTACCACATATTTGAAGATTGTGCAGTCTTGGTTGTGGCTTTGGTTTTATAAATCTCTTTGTGTTAAGATTCTGAAAACTGACACAAAATGTTTATACTTTTGAACTTATTTTGATAAATGTGGTAAGAGTTTAGTAGAAAAGAGATGACTTTAAACAAAACCTGAAGCCTGTTTGATCTTTGACAGTCTGCCTAAATTCAAAGTGTAAGTTGACCTAAAACTAATCCAACATCTGAATGGGAAAAAAATTGTTTCCAATTTCTGCATATGGTACTTTTCTAATAACGACCCACAATGTAATGCAAAATGAATCTTTGGAGGTGTGAATGCGATGTTACGTTCATGCAAATTTCACTTTCTACTTGTTACTGTTTCCAAAATCCCCTTTGCTGTGGGAGACAACAGCCCCTGAGTAACCATCTATATTTTGGCAAAGATTTTGAAGGCAGCCCTGCATGTTTCTTTTTCGGCCATTTGTTGACAAAGTGTAAGTATCTCAGGATCTTGTTCAGAAGCGACGGGACAATAGACGGCGAGACAGATCGGTTTGGCGTCAGCAGTGATGTGGGTGTTCAGAGGAAGCTCAGCCAGCTGGCAACGCTCTGGCTTTACCCATCGGTCTTCATTCCAACCTTCACCTATCTGATTTGGATGGCCTCATGACTGGATGGATGAATAAATGGAAGGTCGCCTCGCAGCATGCAGGTGTTCTACCAGAACCATGCCTTGGTTTCTATCTTGCAGGGGCACCACCACTGTGTCCTGGCGTCACCCAAGTTGATTGTGATTGGTTTAGAGAAATACAACGGAGTACTTCCTTCCCCCATAGCAGAATTATAATGAGGTGCAGTCAGACCATTTTAAAGAACTGTGGAGCCACTGATGTGACACTGCACCTGTCGGGGTTGCTGCAGTTGAATCTTACCTGTCTGTTATTAGCAACAGTTTGCATCTCGTGTGTTTGCTATGTGTGGAACAGCTGACAAGAGACTGACTCTGGTTTAGATCCAGTCATGTTTTTGAAACCTGAAAGTTGGCTTTTGTAAAGGAATAGTCAATGATTTATTTATTTAAACATTTCATGTTCCTGTTGGAGCAGAAAATTGTTGTGCTGCTGCCTGTGGGCTGAAACTTGTTCTTTTGGTTTCAAGTCAAGTCAAGTTTGTGCTGCTGGCTTCATGGAAATGTTTGTAATGGTGACGTGGTTACCTCAGAAACAGGTGAACCTTCACCACAGAAATGCAGAACTGTTTCTCACTCGCTGACCTGCTCAGAAGAAGAATCCCAGATGAAAAACTGTCCAAAATAAAACAAAAAAACTGCATCTTTAAACCTTAATATAAAGTCTAAACTCCAATTTTTGGTCTGTTTTCTCCACTAATGCAGATATCAAGGTGTCCGGTTACCTGAACCTGGCAGCTGACTTCACCCATAATTTCACCGATGGCCTGGCAATCGGAGCTTCGTTCCTGGTCGGTCCAGCAGTGGGCACCGTCACCACCGTCACCATCCTGCTGCATGAGGTCCCACATGAGATTGGAGACTTCGCCATCCTTGTCCAGTCTGGCTGCACCAAGAAGAAGGTAGCCGACCACTCGCACTGTTGTTTATGAGAATCAAATGTGCAAATACAGGATCCATTAAAATCACAAGGAGAAGCTTTGAAAAAGTGATCTGAATGAAGGTTGTTGGCCCAGAACAAAGAATTTTTTGCCCTTTTTATAAAAAATTTTAAATTTAGACTTTGTTGTTTACTGATCAAACAGCACATCACAGATGAGCAGTTCAAGGACTGTTGGAAAGATGAAAATCCAACGATGCTTTCTGTTGGTGTCATTTTGCTGATTTTGTAAATATAAAATGCTTTTCTAACCCCTGTGACAGGTTTTAGGGATCAGTTCTGGTGTTCTCCAGGAAACGTTCTTTTCAAAATAGCGACTTGCGTTCGGTTTAGTCATTGGATGCTGAGTTGTACAATAGAAACTCTGATTAAATATCTACATTTTGCTGACTGAAATAGCCTCACGGTTCCTCCTTTACTATAAAACACTGTGGGGAAAGCTGCTGTGGTCTGGTTGGCAGCTGTGCTCTAGAATGTTCCATATCCTTGATTTCGTTAGAGCCCAAAAGCACAGTTCACTGTTTCCAGTCTGTTACAGATTTTATGACACTGTAAAATTACACAATTGTGCTAAAAGATATAAAGCAGTGAACAGGCTGAAATGTGGGTTTTCTTGTGTTTTTTTTTCACCAGAAGGTTTGCTTTGCCTCTTTACTTTGTCGCAGCCATTTAAATTGTGATCCGATCAATGCGTGTGTGTGTTCAGATATCAGCAGTGTAGTAATCTTCTCCCTCTGCCTTCAGGCCATGTGTCTACAACTGCTGACAGCCCTCGGAGCTCTGGCCGGGACGGCTTGTTCCCTGTTGGCTGAAGGCGTCGGCGCCGCTGCGACCGCCTGGATTTTGCCCTTCACGGCTGGCGGGTTCGTTTACATCGCCACGGTGACGGTGCTCCCGGAGCTGCTGGCGGGTCGCTCCAGCTTCGGCCAGTCTCTGATGGAGATCCTGGCGCTGCTGTTCGGGGTCGGCATGATGGTTCTGATCGCAGAGTACGAGTGAGACGCTGCGGAGCGGACAGAAACGTTGTACAGCGTGAGACAGGGAGGGAGAGAACAGCGAGACCGAGAGGGAAAAGGTCAAAATGTTTAAAAAGGCGGTTTTAGGTAGAGTTCAGGTGGAGTATTTTTGACAGGGTTGTGTTGTCCTGTTTTTTTTTTTTTAAAATTGAGCTGTGTTTTGGGACAAACACTACCACCTGATGGAGAACAGAGGATTTTTGTTGTCTAGTATTTTTTTTTTTTTAGCAGTTCAAGGGCACATCCCTGATTTGTGTTACTATTTGTTTTTGAGAGGAAAATCAGCAAAAGAGACTGAGAGCTGGAATGAAACAAATGGATTGAAAGGTCCTTGAGGAGGAAGAGGAGGAGGAGGAGGAGGTGGAAGAGGAGGCCGCCGCCGTCAGAGCAGGAGGTGGAATTCTTCTGTACACTACTTTAAAAATTCACTCGCCACTTTCGCGACACGGACCATCCAGCTGTAGTTTGCCTGCAGCTTAAACTGACAACTAGTTCCCTCCAAAAGTGGCTTAAATTATATCAGTTTTCCAGCCAAAACATCAGAGTTTCTCTCATTCGACTGGCTGGTTTTCAGATCTACATTTCAGAGTTGGGTCAGTGAATGCGAACGTCCGATTCGCTTGCTTTCTCCGAAGCGACCTGCTCAGTTCCGTGTTTAATGTCCGTTTCCTTCGAAGATGCTGAATGTCGATATTTTAACATTCCACACAGTAAAGGTAAATGTTGTGGCTTCTGCACATGTTTGTAAAATGGCCTCATGTTTCCTGTCAAATCAATAAAATCTGCATTGTTGTTGTTTATAAAAGCAAGAACGGCCAATTTTTTTTCCCCCCACTGATGTATGAGAGAACGATGACGACACTTGAAGCTGTGCTGAACATCCCCAATAAAGGTTCATTATTTTCAAAGTGATGATTTTTTTAATCAGCATTTTCTTTTTGTACTTAAAGACATGCTCTTGATTATGTGTTTTGAGAATACACCGTGGTCATGTGCAAGTGGCCGAAAGCTGTTTCAGTTTGACGTGAGCCTGAAGGTGAAACATGACTTTACCTGCTGTTACCAGAGCTGACCACAGGAGGGAGCAGATGGTTCGATGTTCGTTTTAGTCACCTGGTAAAGATTGATGACAAATTTCACAGACAGTGCACAGGAATGAAAACATGCTACCTGATTCCCCCTGTTGACCTTACATGGCTGTAATCTGAGGGCTGCACTGTGAAGCATGTTTGGCATATTCAGGCTTTCTTTGTGTAGGTTGGCTCAACACCAAAGCCCCAGTATCATGACTCAGGCTTTCTGCTTCAGACTCAGAAGGAACGCTGGTAGACGACTGTTCAATGTGCGTGTATTTTACCGATCAATGCAGCTGCTTATTTCTAACCGACAGCTGTACGTTAAAGAAGGTCACCGGTTCGCATCCCAGTGAGGACACCCGGGATCTTTCTTTGTGGAGTCTCCATGTTCTCCCCGTGCAGCGTGGGTTCTCTCTGGGTTCTCCACCTTCCTCCCACACAGTCCAAAAACATGTTGAGGTTAATTGGTGATTCTAAATTGTCCGTAGGTGTGAATGTGAGTGTGCTTGGTTGTCTGTCTCTAAGTGTAGCCCTGTGATAGACTGGTGACCTGTCCAGAGTGTCCCCTGCCTTCACCCTGAGTCAGCTGGGATAGACTCCAGCCCCCCATGACCCTAGTGAGGATAAAGTGGTGGATGGATATTTAAACATGATCTTGTACTGAAGTGCATTTCATCTGACACTTTCCCATAATGCAGGATATCACTTTAATTTGTGGCCAAATCAAAGTGAATTAATGTTATTGTTTGAATATTCTCTGTAATAAATACCAGCAGAATAATCATTTTTTAAAATCTGTTCTATTAGCTGCAGCACCAGGAGTGTAAACAGGTCATAAAAAAACCCTAATGTCAAACGTAAAAAAACAAACATATTTATGTGATTTGTGCATCACCAACTAAACTCTGAACAGAACCCGCTCTGGACCAGGTTAGCACCACGACATCAGTTACCATGGAGATCTAGCAGGTCAAATCAGAGCCACCTTCATCACGCTGAAAACTCTGACTTTAGGCTCAACCTGCTAGCCCACTAATCTCACTATCTGGTACAGTCCTGCTACCGTCGGCTTCTCTGTGTTACATTTAAAAAAAAAAAATAGAATATAAAATATATTTTCAGAGGTATCAAGGGGATTACATGCCTGTAGGTGTGTTGGTTTGTGGACCCTGACTGTGGAGCAGGAAACACTGGTTGGGTGTTTTTCCTGGTGAGCTCATGAAAAAATAAATACATTTAATCTCAAATGGTGAATTCTTCTTTTTTATTATGTATTTTACGGTCCAAAATGCAAAACTGTCCAGTATTATGGCAGAAAACAAGCTGATTTTTGTGAAAAGACAGAGAATTTCCTATTTTAATGTTTACTTTGTGAGCTCAATCAATCCGACTCCCATTCAGATGTAGTTGGTGGGATGTTCTTCATGACAAAAAATAACTGAAGCTGAGTTGTTAGCTGAAAGTAAATGACTGAAATAGTTACTACATATAACGAATAAATGGTTAAAGTAGGTGCTAACTATCATGACTAACAGGCAATTATAATAATGCTACCAGGAAGTAAAGGACAAATGATGAAATAATTGAGAAACAGCTGAAATATTTATAAATCTATCATATCTGTCGTATCTAAATGATGTCTGAGCTACAGTTCTGGATAAATGGTTGGTGTGGTCATACGAACTGCAGGAGTCTGATTCACATACATGAATGAGATGAAATGAAACACTGAGTAATAAAAATACAAATGAGGTTGTTTTTTTCCTCCGGATGTAACGCTGCTGTTGTTGTCTATGAACCAGCACCGGGATAAAATCTAACACACACAAAATGACCGATGAGACATATATTTGGGTGTAGCTGTTGAGAAATTAAAATTACTGTGTAGGTGAATTTTCTTTTGTGATATTCAGCTGAAGTGGATTAACACTGGGGAGTGGCATGTTGGTATCGTTTGAGAGTTGTTGTTTTGTTTTTTTGTTTGTTTGAGGAAGTTGTCTGATGCTCAGTCGTGTTTTCAATCTGCTCCTGGTCACTGTGGAAACACGACTTCCACAGAAATACTCACGACTTCTCAGGAAGTATTTTACCTACGCAATAGAAAATTTTATTCATTCTAGTCATGCAGGAAACTTTATTTCTTTTAAAGTTCGTGAGAAGCCACCAACTGTGAGCAGAACCGGAAGCTTGCATTCTGTTTACTTGATGTTTTTGTTTTAAAGACTTTAAAAATGATTTGTGGAAAATATTTGTATTTAGCAATTCTGTAAAGTGAAGTAATTCATTTAAGCTAATCTAAAACCCTAAAAATCACATGTCACTGTTTCATTACAGTTATGTGAGGCTACATTTGCTCCATTTACTGCAATGGTACATATTTAACCTTTAATATTTTAGCAGGAGCACACCGAGAGTTCTTAATCACAATCGACCTCCAGTCACCAAAAACAAATTAAATGCTTCTTACTTCATACAGTTTTTACATTGTAAGGCCTGTTTATATTTACAGTCCCTAACAAATGTATTAGACCACCACCCAGTGTAAGGTTTAGGCCACAGCTGTCCTAAATTCTTTAACCGAAATGATATTTTTAATGCTAAAATATAATTATTGTTGTTATCCATGAATTTTAAAAATTTACAATATTATGAAAAAAGAAACAAAGAAGTAAAGCACATTATTATTTCTTGATTAACATGTCAAATTATAGTTATTTACTTGCATTCCTGAACAGAAAAAATAGTTTTAGCGGAGCAGAGAAGAAGTCCAGTGAGCTCAGAGGCTCAGGTTTGGGTATAAAAATATGCATTCAGTTTGAAATTCCTCATTTCTGTTCAAAATGGTGAAAAGTCAGGAGCTGAGGGCAAATTATAGCTCTTCATGTTGCTGGATGGTCTATATACAGTTGAAACCTGAAGTTTACATACACTGTATGAAGAGACACGTAACCCCTTTTTTTTTTTCATCACTGTCGGACATTTCGGTTTATAGGTCAGTTAGGATTATCAAAATTATTTCTATTTGCTAAATACCAGAATGCCACTAAGGCTACTATATCTTCCAACTATTTGGGAAAGCCCAGATGATGATGTCATGGCTTTAAAGCTCTTGATAGCTTAATTGAAAAACATTTGGGTTAATTGGAGGCACACCACACCTCAGACACACTGCTTCCTTTTGTTCTGGGGTTCGTACATACATTTTGCACCAAAACACTTCCAATCTCTTGGACGCAGAACTCGTCTCCTTTCTGAGCGCTATGATGACTGGACATTTCCTTGGTGTTTGTTCTTGCGTATAATTGTTTGAACAGATGAACGTGGAAACTTCAGGCATCTGGAAAGTGTACCCAAGGATGGACCAGACTGGTGGAGGTCCACAGTTCTCTTCCTGATATCTTTCTTTAGATTTTCCCATGTTGTCACTAAAGGAAGTGGAAACACTTATGATGCACAGTTGGATGAAAAGTAAAGAACATCATAGTCGTGTTGTAAATAAATCCAAATAGTCCAAGAACAATGCAGCCCTTTATTTATCATTGATGTAACATGATCCCTGCTGGTTACTGAAGGATGGGCGACACTCACACTTTAATCAGTCATCACAGCTCGTCTCTACCCTGGTGTTTGTGGTTGAGGCAGTTAATGAAGAAACCACAAGGTGAATATTTTGGTATGTGTGTGCAGGCTGTTGTTACCCAGCAGCTTCCTGATTATCACTTGAAGTTCAAGATACAATAAATTTTAACTCACTTAAACAAAACGACCAACATTTGTCTTTGAGATTCTCCAACAAACCCCCTTATCAAAGCCTGAAGAGCCATTTAAAGAACATAGACGTGTTGAATACATTATAAAGTTGTTCAACCTGCAGAATAAAAAAAAAAGAAAAAGAGAGAAAGCAGGCAGCAGTGCAAGATGTTAATAAAGATTTACGTTGTGAGAAATTAGCTTTAAGTGATGAGTGAAACGAGACCGCTGGGAACAGTCAAAACAAAACAAAATACCACAACGAGCAAGCATCTAAAAATACTTTTTAGATGAAACACGTTTAAACTCTCCGAAGGCTTTGAATCATCTAATCTGACAGGCAGTTTGCAGTTCGTTCCTTTTAAAAAGTACATAAAACCAGTTTCGCCGAGGTGTCTGCATGAGAGTTAAACGATTCACTTTTATGTTCCCGTAAAACATCGCTGTCACCGACACATGTGCATTTCTCTGAATACTGTCTGAAAAGGTTGATAGTGGAGAGAAAGTGACCACATCTGAGCTATAAGCCCTTTTGGATTGACACTTACACCAGTGGATGAGACTAATCGCTGTGATTTCACATATTGTAGCAGCGTTTTCTGTCAATATACAACTTCATGTCCTCACCAACAGGTTTAGATAAAACTGTGCAGGATTATGTCGCTTGTCATCAGGATGCACAAGTTGTTTTTGCAGGAATGCAGGAGGACATTTTCAGGTTGTTGACAGCAGTAGCTTCAGATTACAGTCTTGCATAACAGCGTAATAAACTATAACTGTGCAGCCATGAACCACACTAATTAACACAAGCCGAATGTTGGGTCCTTTGTTACGCTGTGGGAATGTTTTGCAGAAGAACATTATGTAATCTGTTACCAACAGCAAAAACCCCCTAACCATCCTCTGAATACTGCCAGCAAAATGTTCCACCTTATGTCTCGTTGCAGGAACATTTTTTGAATGTTGGTTTGAGAATGTTCTTTATTTTTTTTTAAATATAAAATACTCTGACAACATCCTCCAAACATCCCCTGAATTACAGCGTGCTGTTTCTAACCTCATAGGAACTTTATTTGAAATGAAAAA